AAAAGGGCTTTATATATAATGGCAAGTTAAAAGAAATATGGTGCACAAATTCCTTTTATGAATCAAGATCAGCTTTAAGAACGTTCGTTGTTAAAACTGACACGCACATTTCTTCAGAAAGGAAAAAAGCGGTCAAATGTTTCGTTCTAATATCTTTAGGAAAGGTGTTCCATAAATACAGTCAGATTGTTACTTGACAGTTTAAATAAACTGGGGGTAAACATGTGTATCGATACACGTGTTGTGATAACTTCAATTAACATCACGATGATCAATGCATAATTATGTACATATTCGTTACAATAAGCGGGTAGTCTCTAACTCTCTCTCTTAACTTCCTAAAATCCCAATTTTTGCAAAACTCGCGTTGCTGGGCGCAGAGAATGGGCTGTCTTAAAACTTTGCAACGAATATTGCTTTCTCGTTTCTAAAGAAATGGGCGTGTTGATATGTAACAATCGACGTTCTATAAGAAAGACCAGACCCTTCCATTCAAACGAAAAATTTTACCACTTCAATGCATCATTGTATCGATCGAACACGTTTACCCGGAGTTTATTTAGACTGAAAATGCCAATCTGATATATTTTATTTATAAAAAACCTTTCGCACATATTTTTGAATGAAACATTTGACCGCTTTTTTCCCTTTTAAAGAAATGGGCGTGTCATTATGTAACAATCAATATTCAAAAGAGAGCTCAAAAGGTTCCATTGAAACGAAAAATTTTACCACTTCAATGCGCATTATTGTAGCACAAACACTATAGGTATAACGCCTAGTGCTTTAGAATGATTTGCATTGAAGTGGTAGAATTTTCCATTTGAATGGAACCTTTTGAGCTTTCTTAAGAATATTGGTTGATAAAAATGACACGCTCATTTCTTCAGATAGGAAATAAGTCAAATGCTCTTTAAGAGCAGGTACATAAGATAAGGCTTGCCTTATACTAGTAAGTCAAAAGTTCCAGCCTTACCGTGTGTACACCTTTAAGGGCCGGTACACACGATAAGGCTTGCCTTATAAGTCTAAAACCTTACGTTTTGCAGGACGTACGGCTCTCGTGTCCACACGTTAAGGCAAGACTTACAAGATTATAACAATCATAGTAATATAGTAATAGTTATACAACATTTCCATAAATCCCACGTGTTTCTAGCCATAAATAGTGAATTCGGTCGTTAAAATAGAAGAATAGATTACTAGGCTTTGTAATAATTATACCAAAAAAGTACATTCACACTTCTTAAAATAAAGAGGAAGAGGTCCCTAACAAAAAAATACTATAGTTAACTATAGTTTACTATAGTAAACTATAGTATTATCTTTGACACTATGAAAACTATAGTTAACTATAGTGATAACTTTGACACTTTGATTCACTATAGTGATCACTATGACACTATAGTGATAACAATGAAAACTTTGATTTACTATAGTGTTCACTATGAAAACTTTGATTTATTATAGTGATAACTTTGAAAACTTTGATTTACTATGGTAAAAACATTGATTTACTATAGTGATAACTTTGAATACTTTGATTTACTATAGTGATCACTATGACACTATAGTGATCACTTTGAAAACTTTTATTTACTATAGTGATAACTTTGACACTTTGATTTACTATAATAGTTAACTATAGTAAACTATAGTTACACTTTAGTGTTTTTGTTAGGGGTTGAACAGAAACATTTGTGGATATTTTCATTAGCTTATTCGAAAATACTTTGTGTTCACTTCAATATACCCACGTATATGGTTTGATAAAAATAGAATGACATTTGGGCGAATGATTTTCATTGAGAAGAAAATTACAGCTAAATCTTGTATTAAGAAATAGAGCAGTGCTATATTTGTAAGTCAGACTTGTAAGGCTCGAAAAACCGTGTATTAAGGGTGTACACACGGTAAGGCAAGAACTTTTAAAGTTCTATGACTTATAAGGCAAGCCTTATCGTGTGTACCTGCCCTAATACACGTTTTTTCGAGCCTTACAAGTCCGACTTAAAAATTTAGCAATGCACTGCTCTGTTTCTTAATACAAGACTTAGCTGACCTTTTAAATTTCTTCTAAACCAATGAAAACCATTCGCCCAAGTGTCAATCTGTTGTTTTTTGTTGTTTTTTTTTTGTCAAACTATATACGTGGCTAGATCGAAGTGAACACAAAGTATTTTCGAATGAGATAATGAATGTATCCACAAATGCTTCTGTTCAACCTCTTCCTCTTTTTTAAGAAGTGTGAATAAATTAATCGGTAAAATTATTACAAAAAGCTCTAGAAATCTAATATTCTATTTTATGAATGAATGCACTGTTTATGGCTGAAAATCACGAGGAATTTATGGAGTTGTTGTTTATACTATTGTAAGTCTTGCCTTAGCGTGTGGACTTGAGAGTTTTACGGCCTGCAAAAACATAAGGTTTTTAGACTTATTTTTGAAATCTGGGAAAATATTCTAATGCCTTTCTTCAACTTGTGTGTTTATATCAAAATGAATATTGGTTACAGGCCTGAGGGATGCAATTTCAGTTTGAGGGTACAACCTATAGGAAATTCATGACAACACAAGGGGAAAAGGTCATCATACGTTATTTTTAGGGGACACAACCGTCCAATTGTAGCTTTGTTTTCTATTGTAGTATATACAATGTATATGTACTAGTGAAATTATTTAGGGGACACTACCGGGTTCTTGCGGACAGAGTGCCATTTTAGATTCTCAAATACAAACTATTACACTCAAGGTTTGATTTTTAAACCAAGGAGGAACAAAGTTCGACTGGTCTTTACTATATCCCGTTTTTTATTTTAATCTTTATATTACGTTGGATATTCTGTCTGAAATCGGCTTCAAGGTATGATTGTGAACAAATCATCAATGATTGAAGGCAAACTTACATACTAGGACTACATGTACCTGCTCATTGGATTTCAGTGTTATCTTTATTTTAGAACAAATAACACTTGTTGCAATTCTGCTTGTACTAGTGTATGTTATGCCCTTTGAATTTAAAGTATTAAAAATCAAATGGAATTTATAGCACTGTTTGAAGCACGAATCAAAAAAGATGGACGGAGGGAAAGAATTGTTTTAAGAGGGCGTACGGTTTTCTTTTTATTAAATACAGGTTTTTATGCAGTAAAAAAATTGTCCAGAGTTTACACATTTACGTATGGGCAGTGACGACTGTGCATGAATTTGCGCACATCAAATATATTTGACAAAAGATGTCACATTGTCATTTATTGTTCCTTTTCATTCTTCAATGCTAAGTACATTCACATTACTTATTTATTGCCCTCTCTGTTCACCACGAAGGATCCCGTTTCTGCTGACCAACAAAGCTGTTTAAATGCTGCAAGTCTGCACACGATTTTTACATTATCCAAATAAACCATTTATCTAAAAAGCAAGTTAATGGTAGAGTATTTTTAAGGTGAAGATATTAAACAAACAGTAATTAATCTCATAAATCCAGTAAATAATACAAGAAACCGATCCCTGGAAACACGCCCAGAGGTTCAGATGTTTACGAGGAAATTGAATCCTTTACGTTACATTACAGATTGGATAATATCTGTGGCAGAAAAACGTCATCTCGCTATTGTTAACGTTACGATTAAAACAACAAAAAATCAATGTTTTTTTTCGAATTTCGGTATTAAGGCTGTTTCAGGTACGTGCCTCTTAAATGAATAAATTTTGTTTGGTTGTATAATGCTTCTCAATATCTAGCAAACATTAGCATTAAAATCGAATGAATTAATATTTCTTCTCAACTCTTTGTCTGACGTCATGGCGTCAGACAGTATTAGATTTAGCCAAGGCTTGTTGGTCAAGTCGTTCAATAGAATTCTTGTGATAACTTGATCTTGGAAACTTCATACTATCTAAACTATTAATTGGCGAGCATGTGGAGTAAAGGAAACATGCTAAACACCCAAACAAGCCAGAGTATTGGAGCCGATGCCATTATTATCACATTATACATTACAGGTTACATAACATTTGGCCATTCTCGAAAATTGCATCATTCATGTCCAGCAAAAACAGAAGGAATGAAGCTGGTCAGGTCAACACTATCAGATAAACTACTGATTGGATGTTTATTTGCAATGCATGCACTATGTCCCTCTACCTTTAGAATTTTTATAAATCTACACATATTCATAACTAGCAGACGTTTGATTTATTCATAGTTTAAAAAAAATATCAAAGTGAAGGATAAATGTTGAATATTCTTTTGCTTTAAATTAATTGCAAAGATATTAGCTCATTTGAAACATGTTTATTATTTTTAATGAGACATTTCTTAATTATCAAAATTGTTCACCAATTGATGTTTAGATTTTTATGTGTTGTAACTTTTTCTTTCAAAAGCACCGGTTATATCTTTCTATTCATTAACAGGCCCGTTGGAATAAATTTCAGAAAATTTCAGTTTCGGGTGTACACAATCAAGGAAAAATTCCTTATCGGGCATAAAAAAAAATTATCCAAAGTTAATATTTACATAATTCAGGGGACACAAGCATAAAGTACCTATGTATAAATCCTCGAAATTATTGAGCTCACCCCCCCCCCCCCCTCCAGGTTCCTACTTCCATGAAAAAGAATTTAAAAATAATATAATGTATATAGAATCACGTCTCTGATAGAATAAATGCATGTCCAAGTTTCTGAATTGAACTTTTTTTGTTTCTTAGTGCTAATTCATTTCATGACTCAGAGTCATGTTGGTTACACTGGATTTAACTTTTCTTGATTCTTCGGGTTAAAATAAATTTGCTCAAGTCAGACAAGCTTTTAAGGAAAGCTAATACTTGTTCAACTCTTCAATTTCTTTTTACTTCCTGTAACTTCAAACGGTCTTTATGAAAGAGGGTGAATTTAATGCTAAAGAGTAGCAATACCTTAAAGTTTATCAGTTTTAAACGATCATGAAAATTTTTTAAGGCGTAAAATAAAACTAAACCACAAAAACATCGATATTTTTCTCATCGGTTTTATTCATAAATACAAACACAACATTGTGGAGTTTTTCATGTAGGAATGATAGTGTGATTTTTTTTTTTAAATCCAATGATAAAACAAAAGCTTCATAATGGTTTTCATAATATCACGTTTGTCATGATATATTGTAAAGGAACAGAGATTTGGTGCATGATTTTTTTTTTCATTAAGGGTGATGTATTGCTGAACAGACCATTGGAATAACATAAACATTTTCTAATGAAAAACTCGATATTTTCAGTATCACAGACACGCCATAGACAGATATTAAGCACACGATGACAAGGGGGCAAACATGATGCATTATATATTTTTAACAATAAAACTTAAATCGTAGTCTTATGTGACTGTTTTGTACTATAAGTACGTTAGTTAAAGATTGGTCAATATTATTCATTGGTTAAAATTTCAAAATTTTACGCATGCAATTAAAAATAACAAGGTTACAAATTTCGTAACAGTATCATAAGAAATTGTCTATTAAAAACTATGTATTGTATAAATTAAAATGTATCAAAACCTAATGCATGCAAATTTTCTACTGGCAAGCAGACTGATTAATACTTCATTAACAAACTGGTCAACTTCAAGATTGCAGTTTCAAGAATCTGATTTTTTAAAATGAAATTTGAAGAGTCTTAATGTGAACTTAATTAACTGCAGGTTCATAGACACCATGGCCAAGTTTTCCTTTCCTTGAGATTTGATCTGACTCAAAATTATTGTATGCTAGTTCCCTGGCTTTTGGAGTACGGAATGTTTCCAATGATGGACGGGCGGCATTCTGTAAATTAAGAGATTTACACTTTTGTTTTTGTAGGTTAAAGAAGAACACGTTATTGGATTAGCTTGAGTATCTAGCACAAAGCTCTTATTTTATATTTTCATTAAAATACTTGATAGTAACCACATCTATCTACTTGAATTCTGGAATGATTAACTATATTTTACTTGATTTGATAATATGGGAATTTCCCTGAGTTATTCCTGTCTGTAATTAAACTATGTTTTGTCTAAATAAAATACAAAAATAGATATAACAATTCAAATATTGTAACAAATATGCTCTACTTCACTCTCACCTTGAACTTTGACATTTGCCAGAGAGGGGCAGGCTCTACTGGATTCTGATACGTTCTCAGAAGTGAGGCTCTTGTCTCATAAACTTTACTGGGGTTTCTTTTTTGCTGCAAAGAAAAAAAAATGAACATATTGACTCCTTAGTAAAAATAAATCTTTAAAAATTCCAAATTCATTTATGAGAGAGCTTTGTAAGAGTAATGAAATTTGAAATATTTTGTTTTACTTTCAAATGTTCACCACATTTCACGTTTATAACTTGAGCACAATCTATTTTAATCTAGAATAATATACATGTAAATTATAATAGAGAGAAAAGGGAAAGGAAATCTATGATTACAAAGGAAAAATTATAGAAGTAATTTGGCAATAGCAAGATTTTTTAAAGATTAGTCAAATGCAAAAAGCTTTATAAATTTGCTATCACAATAATACAAATGTTTGTTTTGTTTTCTACTAAATGTGGATACCCCACAGTACTACATATCCTATAAATTGCTATATTTGAAAAGAGAAAGAAAGATCGTTTCAAGCATGCTTCATAGCATATTTACAAACACCTACATGTATAACATACTAGATGTGAATTTAGATTTTTATTGAATGATTTGTATTAAAGCCAGGTTTTTCATGCAACAGTATCAATTTATAAGCTGCAGTAGTATCATGACATTGTGACATCCTATGCAGGGTGTGTAACAGTTGCTATATATCCATGATTTTTACAGGTCACTGAATCAAAAGATATCATACAAGCCATTCAGATATAAAATTTTGCATTCGTATGTGTACCTTCATTTCCCATAAGTGTTTCCTTTTCTGTTTGACGAAATATTTAGTTACAATTAAGATCAGTCTCAGATAATAAAGAAGCCTATATATAGTTTTGTAATGACTATATTTATACAGAGTTTGTAGGATAATCACACTGAAATATTAATTCTGCACAGTTAAAATTAAGCCACACAACTGCATTAAAGTTCAGAAAAAAAAATTTACTAAGTTAGTACAAAGTAGTTGCCTATTAATAAACAAAGAAAAATAACTGATGTATTGAATTTATCGATAATGATAATTTAAACAACATCTTTGAAGGAAAAGTAAATGTAAAAGGTCTCTGAGAATTTTGTTTTGATTGATTATCTTTTAATTAGATGCCTCACAAGTTTTTGATATGAAGTGTTCCAAATCTAACACATATTTCTTTCAGTTTGATATATACATCAGTGATAAATTTTATTAGTTAATTTTGTAAAGCAAAAGGTGAAATTCTACATTATTTTTAGGGTAAAAAAACCACCACACAATTTTGCTGCAATTTGCAACACTCACAACTGGGTATGGCCCTGCTGATTGTGATAGTCTTGGTTCAGGCATTATTGGATTCTAATGAGGAGAACCATTGTGTTTCAGTTTCAAATAACTTACAGTATCACTAAAGATTGATACATTTATAACATAAATCATTAAGTTAATTTACAGAATGTTGCACATATATTTTACAATATCATAATCTTTATCATATTGTAGTTAAAACATTAATCATATGCAAGCTGTAGAAACCATTATCAGACAATGTGAGCTTTATTTTCAATTTGCAGTTTCTCAAAGTGCACATAATTTTACTCATGACCAAATCTATTTTACATTTTTAATCAGGATTCAATACCTGAGTTTCCTCTTTCCTTTTTGCCAATTCCTGTTGCCTCCTTTGCTGTAACCATTTATCCTGGTATTTATGCTCTAATAAATCGAAAATTGGAGTGGATGGCCTACAAGACAAGGTTGTTTATATTTATACTGTATTTGAATTCAAAAATAAACTATGAAAACAGTTTAAAAATTTTAATAAAATAACTACCTCGTAGATATTCCAAATACCATTGTGGGTGGTATTCTTCTTGTTCTGAGCCTAGTATTTTCTGACCCAGCTGTTTTACGACGAACATCATGAGTTGCTCTAAATTCATAATTTTCTCCAGCTGTGACTAGTCCATTTTGTACTGCTGCTTTGTTGAGAGCCATAAAATCTCTTTCTGCTTTTTTGTCCTTTCTTGCAAAGGGTAATGTTGTTGTGGAAAGGTTCTTTGGCCAACCATGCAAGGCTGAAAAGAATTATCAAGTTACTTACTCTTGCTATATGTAACAGAACAAGTTTGTGCCTCTGCTATAGATTTATAGATGTCTGGATTTTTGCAGGTTGACAACACAGTGTAAAGGAGTTTGAAATGGTCATGTATTTTATATTGTGAACACATACTCCCACTAACTAGTGCTTTAATATTATGTCTAGAAAGTGTGATGTATAATATATTAATAAATATAATTAAATTAATAAATAAATTTTATTGAATATGCTGATGGGAATAAGTAAAAAACATTGAAACATGCAAAAGAACCTCCTTACCCACCCCACCCCCTAAAAAATCAATGAAAAACAGATAATGCAGGGGCTATTATGAATACATGTAACTATTTTAATTATTGTAAACATATTACATTTGGCTGTGTTTTCTTTTTAGCAGCTTTGTTGGAACGCAGCAATCGCTAAATCAAGTACAATGCTAAATTGCTTGCACACATACACATAAATAAGAATATGAAGAAATCTATGCTACCCTTACTCATGTAACTTATTCAAAAACCAATTTCCGCCAAATATTGTACGCGCTAAATATAATACATTTACAATATTAGAAAGAGCTTTGACTTACCATCATCTGCACCACCATGTCTTGCTTCATTTGGGCGACCAAAAATAAAATCTTCCCCTAAAGTACCATATCCTCGTCTCTTTGGCTTTCCTAACTCTGTCTATAAAACAATTTTTAAAAAGTGTAATTTTAACTTGAACATCTTTCTCCAAAATTAAACTACCCAATACTGATCCAAAGAAAGTACGTTTTTTTTCGAGTGTGTAACGAAGAATGAAAATTGTGTAGGTACATATATGTAGGCCTCAAATAATTATATAATAAACAATTATATGAAGATGTATATGTATACATGTATATGATATATTAAATGTATATGTATACATGTATATGATATATTATATATATGTACATGTATGTATATGCATGTCACAACAGTATAATTATACACAAAACTTTAAAAATTTGCCTAACGCATTTTTCCCCTTTAACATATAGGTACAACATGTATCATAAAAAAAATATAGGTTGTTAACAGAGCAATTGCAATTATTGTACCTGATTTGTACTTAATTATAGTTTTATATTGTGGAATTCTTACTCTGAGAAGCAATTCGTTGTTTAACATTGTTTCGCGGTGAGCTCCAAGTTCTCCCGCTGCTGTACAGTGAAATGGATTTTGTCCAACGGCTGCCATTTTCCCCTTTTTCCTTTAAATGTCCTTATGTGTATTACTGACAGCAAATACAGTTGTTATGCGGAAGCCATGCAGGAAATCACCATAGAAACAATAAATAATCCGAGTTCCGCTTTACAACGCACCCTTGCGGACATAAACGATAACTCTCCTCGATCTTTACCGACGCAAGGAAAGTGACCGAGATACTACGAATGAATGTCTTTTTTCGGAAGGTCTCGGAATTCAGGTTTTTCTTTAACGGTAAAAACAAGGAGATCCGATGGTCCATTTTCGCGTGAAGTGGTAGAGGGAAGTTGGTAAACAATGGGAAGAAGGAAAGGACGTGGTTTCAATAAAATGGTGAACAAGAAATGTGCAGAATGTGAAAAGGAGGTAACATATACATGTGATAATATACAGATATCCAACATAAATCCACATGTCGATACATCAGGCGCGAAATCACGACAGTGAGTGCACTCTTTTTAACAAGAAAACAAAAAAAAAGATTAATTATACTCTAACAATTAAATTTAAAGCGTTAAAAATTATGTATGGATGTTAATACATGAGACGCAAAATGACGGGGGCTTCTGAGGTATTAAAAAAAAAAGAAGAGAAAAAAATCAGTAAAAAACATGAAATCCAAAAAAAAAATGTTTACACACCAGAAGCAACCCAAGCCCCTGTTGTTCATTGCAGAGAAAATCCAATATTTTATTCAACAACCCCAACATTTTCAGAGGGACTTGAGTCACGTATACTATACATTTAGAAAAAATAGTGCACGCTTGGGGCTTAATTGTTACAAATCCAGAGGGACCCAAATGGAGATCTAGTACAATATTATAAATATAAAAGAATATAGAATTAAAAGGTTTATCCAGCAGCAATATTTGACATTTTTTATTACTAATACTTCATGATTCACATATGAAAACAGTTTTTGCATACATCATAGTAGATTTGAAACTGAAGGACATTGGCAAGGCAAGATTTTCCAGAGAAAAAAGGTTTAATACATAGTTTTTTCACTTAATGACTTATGAAATAGTGATTGAGAGTGATCGATATCTCCCGTGTAGAATTCTCCATATGGTGAAAACCAATAATGTGCATGTACAGAGGTATTAAAACAAAAGCATGTGTGCTTCCTTCAATGGTAAAATTACCTATACGATAAGAAAGAAAGGTAGTGATGGCTTTGTTGTTCATTGTGTTCAGGGGACAGAGAGCCAACAGATCGACATTTACTATGGCTTAGCTACAGAACTGTATTGACCTTTTGGGAAATTTTTGGATTACTTGTATAAACCATTATACTTTAAACTCAAGATAAATTGGGTTTCTGGACTTTGTTATCAGCTAAATGTTTGTTTTGCAACACCAGCGTTTGAAATAACCATGCGCCCAACCGCCCGAGATGCACAAATTTTTGCCATGGGCGAACAGATTTGCACGTATTGATGCTCGGCTGGACGTGTTAAAATTTCCCTTAATTTAAAATTCATGTATTTGATAAATCTTTGTCAGATCAACTTGTAGTATCGGAAGCAAAGTGTAATAGGTAAAAGGGGTGGAATTCGTTAGCATATAGTTATGGTGATCTGGCCCCATTCACATTATTGCTAAAAACAAATTTATAAAAGACAATTATTTTCTCAGGCTAGATGATTTTTGGTAGGGCTGACAACTTTCACTAGCAGTCAGTCTTGCATGTCTAGCTAATTTTATGGTGAGTTTCAAACACATTGCAACACAGAGGAATATGAATAGCCAGTTTAGTTATTTATATTTTCTTTAAAATTTGTCAGAGAAATGACTATGGGAAAAATTAGCTCATTCCATCTGGAAAATAATAGGTACATTTTTGGAATTGAAAATGGGGCCCTTGAACAGCCCCAACTGTAGATAGTCAAGAGCCCTGCTATATTTAACTTGTAAGAATGTAAATATGAAAAAAGAGAAACTCAAAGCTTGTAGAACTTAAATTGATTATTACAATAAATATGTCCTTTGTTGAATTAATATATTTTATTTATATATGACTGTGTAACACATGAAAAACATCATTGCCTATTTGCAGTAAACATGATAAACTGGTAAACATTAATTAAGAAAAACTTGCTTTAGAGTAAGCAACTTTGTAAGAATACCTCAGATTGATTTATTATATTTTTTTCTTTATAAAAAAAGGTCCCCATAGCACGCAAGTTTTGTACATGTGGACATGAGTTTGTGCCAAAAAAGTCTCTATCACCATCAGGTAAACTCAATTTATAAATGATTATGAGACATACATGTAAATCTGAAAGGGAACACCGGTTAGAACGGTACATTCGGGGTGGCGGCAATGGGTGACTCAGGGTGGCGGCACCAAGGCGAGGAAAACACCAACACGGTGAGTAAACCTGAATTTTTTTCATATGTTTAGATGTGTTAGATCAGAAAATTGTATTCTACGGAAGAGAGCAAATATCAACCTACCTCTGACCGTTTAAAGCAGCCTATAAGAGTGCTCCGTTTTCTTAAACACTCCTCCTCACTTTCCGGGGTATCAACGTTTTCGTCTTTTGACACAATATTCTGTTTCAAAATTGACCTCAGAAGGGTTTTTTCCTTATATCTTAAACAGTAATCAAGAAATACGATAGAATTTAACTTCAATCCTACTTTATAAGTCAATATATTTTACTAATTAAGCCAATTTAGGCTTCAAACTCGATGCGATGCTCGGGGTGGCGGTTTCTGTTTTTTGTTACTTTTTAAAACTCCTATCTTTCGGCTTTGAGGAGGAGTGTATTAAATGATAACCATCATCCAATGAGTAACTCTTTAATTAACTAAGGATGACTGATACCTGAAACATATAGAAATAATATTACATTACATAAATGATTAGTTATCTCCTCCCCCGGGGACAAGTTTTTTAGGCATTAATAAAACTTAAAAGGTCTGTATAAATCAAATATCAAATTACGGAATGTTTCATATCACAACTGTACTTCAGTCAGTAGTAATTAAAGATCAATTGAACTGTCCAATAATCAGTTATTCTCTGCAGAATCCATGGAATCCTGTCTAGTATTGCGGCGTGGTCTTCCAGGCGTCAACAACTCTTTCTTTCCAGGTGCATTGTGCGGCTGAAGACGAGCCAGAGCGCGGGGTAAACGTGTGACCTTCGGTTTGTCTTCATGTTCTGTCGGAGGAGCGACTTCGTCCTTGTCCGTCAATAGTCGTCTTGGCGATAAACGCGACTTAGCGGTTGATTTTGGGGTCACGACTGCAGGTGAGACCTCTCCAGATGTAGCAGGTGAACCATGGTTAACAGGTGGTGGAACAGAAGGGCCATCCACCCTGGGAGTCACATGCGAAGGTTGTGGTGTGCTACATTTCAATGGATTTAGAGTCAATGTTTTCTGAGTCGAGGATGAACCATCTGTAACAGTCTTTTCTGAAGGCTGTGGCATTCTCGGCATCGTTTCAATCGCACTGGGTGAATTGCTGTTAAACGGGGTGAATTTCCTCAGATGCTGGTGATTTCTTAGCGTAACCCTTCCTGTGCCATCTACACGTACCACATACTGGTGGTATTGGCGGACCTCAACAACAACTCCAGTGCGTTCCCATCTCCTTGGGTGGTTGCCCATTAAGTTTTGGATATACACATGGTCTCCAACCTGCAGTGGTGGTAGCTGATGGGTATGCTCATTCCATCTTTCATGCTCTCTTGAGTGGCGTTTGGCAAGAGCTAACTCTCTACTCGACATCAGTTCCTTCCATGTATCATGAGGCGAATATCTACCCATTACGATTGGTACGGCATCTCTGATCGGACGACCAAACAGGATCAAGGCTGGGGATGCCTTCGTCTCTGGATCAATGGAGTTCCTGTATATAAGTAAAGCCCTCTGAAACTTATCCACGTCTAAGGAACCATTGGCTGTGATGTTGTCCGCAAGCATACGTTTTACCATCTTTACTGCAACTTCAGCTCTGCAGTTGGCATGTGGATTTGCAACTGATGAGATTCTATGTCTGACTCCCCAGGCTTTCAGGAATTCCTGTGTCTTTCCAGCTGTATACTGAGGACCTCCATCTGATGTTAATTCCTCTGGGATACCAAATGTGACAAACGTCTCACGAAGGCGCTTCACCAGTCCATCCGCTCCAGACTCCGATCTGTATACCATGGGCCAGTTGGAGTACCTGTCCACAACGACAACATAATCCTTACTGTTGTAGGTGAAGTAGTCGCTGCAGATCTTCTGGAAAGGATATTCAGGAGGAACTATATCAGTAGGTGGCTGCATGGGGTTTGACTTAGCCATCTGGTGACAATGTCCACACTGGTCCCTCGTCCTGGCAATATCCACCGTGATATCTGGCCAATACACCGAGTCCATGGCTCTGGCACGCATCGACGAGACTCCTTGGTGTGCTGCATGAAGTGCATTGAGTACTGGTTTACGTAAGGCAGGTGGGATGACTATACGCTGTCCCAAGAGAACCACACCATCAACAGAGCATAGACTGCCAGAAAAACGATGAAATGGGCGCAACTCCAGTGGCAAATCCCTATAATCCTCTGGGAACCCTTCTTCTATCTGCTGAAGCAGGCTAATATACGTAGGATCTGATGCTGTGGCTTCACGTACCATATCCCAAGTTACAACCATGATGTTGGCATTTAATGCAGTTGTAGCGGCAGCAACTGTGGAGGTATCATCAGCTTGATCTCGATCCTCAGTAGATAGGCCGAAACTGGTGGGTGTATCACGACAACTGGCAGAGCAACTGTCAAGGGACTTGTCTACTGTGGCATCACCAGGTAATACCAGTCGATCTGGGGGGCAAGCTGGATGTCTGGAAGCTGCATCCGGACCAAGGTTCTTCTTCCCAGGTACATGAACCACCGTAAACTTGTATCCAAGGGTCTTTTCTTTCAGGTTAAGGAGACGCCTGTTATCTATTTCAGTGAGTGATCGGTCGTTCAATATCTGGAGTAGTGGTTTATGGTCAGTGGCGACAATGAGATCTTCGCATCCGAGCACATAGTATCTTGTCTGGTGGAGTGCGTACACAACAGCCAAGGCTTCGCCTTCGATTGGAGCGTATCTACTTTCTGCTGGGTGGGTGAATCTACTGCCGACCAAACAAAGCTTCCATCCGTCATTACAGCATGCTGGGGTCTTACTGGCACAGCTGCAATACTTCTGCATCATGAAGAAGCCAATACCATCAATGGACCAGTCTGTGGCTAGACAGGTCATGCGTGCTGGGTCAAACAGACGAACACCTTCCTTCATCTCCTGGATAATGACCTCCTTGGACTTTGTAAATAGTTCATCTAGCTCATCCGTCCAATGGAACGGTGTAGATGGTTTCAATAGAGCTCGGAACGGTTTCATCTGTTTAGTCATGGCAAACGCGTAGGCACCTTGGTTGACCAATCCAAACCATGCTCTTGCACCGGTAATGTCGGATGGTGTGGGAAAGTTGCTGATTGCATCTAGGAACTTTGTGCTTGGTCTTATATTTGTAGGAGTAATTGTGAGTCCAGCAAAATCTACAATATCTTGAGCAAACTGGAACTTCTTCGGGTTGAGGGTAATACCATTCCGAGCACAGAGGTCTAACCATTCGCACGTCTGGAAGAATGCTGCTTTAACAGAATCTGCCCACATACAAGTGTCATCCACGCATTTGACCTTGTTCTTGAAGTCCGTAATGACAGCATCAAATCGTTGGTTGTAAGCATCTCCGCTGGCCATAAATCCCTGTGGAGCTACCTTGTATCTGTACCGTCCCCATGGTGTGATAAAAGTGGTAAAGTGACGGTCCTCCTCTCGAATAGGTACAGAGTGGTATCCATTCCAAGCGTCAGTAACGGTCTTCTTCATACCTTGAGGTACCCTGTCTGCTAGATGAAACGGACTCGGTACATGATGGGTCTGGCGTACGGAGTGACGGTTTTGTGGTTGAAGATCTACCGTCCTTCTGGGCGTACCATCAGCTTTACCTGTAACTACCATCCTGGAACACCATGTTGTAGGGGTATTCTGGCTAACTTTCTCCAAGACTCCAATCCTTACGTCTCTCTCCAGGTCAGCATAGACTTTATCCTGCCAATGGATGGGTACCAGTGCTGGCTTGTGAACAGCAACTGGTCTGGCATCAGGATCTATGTGAAGCTTTAGGGGCTCACAGTTCATCAGCGGTAAAGGTTGATGTTCACATACGTTAAAAGTTGTAGCACTGTAGTAATCAAGTAGCCATTCCTTTAATGCATCCACATTTTCTTCAGTAGCGTCCAAGCCTGGTGGTAGTGTTGTTGGTAGTGGAGGTGGATTAGGCTGACGTCTGGGACAGGAGCAGGTAGTCTCATCTTCTACAGAAGCAAAACTCTCTGATGTGTCTACGGGATGGTTTGGGAAGTCTGCATGAATTATTCCAAGAGAAACCAGTGCCTCCCTGCAGATGAAAGCTTTTTCCATGACATCAGATACATAACATAATATGCGTGTAGATTTGGAACCATCTATGACCCTCACATCAACTGCAACCGCTCCAATAACCCCAAGGTTTTCTTTGATGGCACCTCGCATAACGAGCTTAACTGGAATTAGGTCCTTTCTGGTAATTCCCAGGTTGTTGGCTGTCTGCAATGGGATTATCGTACTCTGGCATCCGGTGTCAGCTACCATGGTCAGTTGTATCGTTTTGAGCCTTGTAACATCTTTGATGGGATGTCCAAATGACGCATGGTCCTCGGCCAAAGGTGTCATATTAACCAGTAGCATCGGATGAGGTTTGGACGGCCTAGCTATCCATTTTCCTTCGAAGATGTGATGTTCAAGACGTGCTGTATTCTGATATTGTTCTGATGTGGTACATAGCTGGTCGTAGACATAACCAACCTTGTCGTCAGCATCTTTCGTCGGTTCCTGTGATGGTCCCTGATTGCGGAGTTTCTGTCCTCGTCCCTGTGTACAAGCCCTTGACGATGAATCACGATGTCCCCAGGCACCACACGTTGAACACTTGCTGCATGACTTGGTATAATGACCCTTAACTTTACACTTGGCACATGTAGATGTCCAGGCCTCGCAACTTCTTTGTCTGGCTCGACGATCGTTTCTTTGTCCGTGGGCAGGTCCACCACATGCCCAGCACTTGCCTCCAGGTCCTTGTACTGATTTTTGGCTATGGGTCGTTGTCGACATCGCACCGGCTGAATCTCCAACTGCACTCCGTGTAACTTTGCCTTGTTCCTTCTGTGCTATGAAGGAAACAGTCTCTTCCAAGGTTCTGTCTGTCTTAGGATCACCAAGCAGGTCAGACAAAATTTCAGGGTCTGCAATTCCTCTAACCAGATTGTCCTTTATGATCTCATCACTGTAGTCGTAAATGTGGTTACACCCTTCCTCCTTGCATGTGGCCTTGTACTGACAGAGAGACGCCTGACCTCGGAGACTGGCTAAAAACGTTCTGATGCTGGTACCAGGTGCTTGTGTCATCTTACTGAGCTTAATGCGTTGTACCAATGTGCTCTCATCCTTCACAGCAAGCCGTTTAATGACATTCATCAGGTCTGCCTCTGGCATGTCTGTGATGTTACCTCGTTGGTCACGCATGACGTCGGTCCGAAGGTCTGAGTCACAGCAGTAGAACAGAGCAGTGGGTACGACGTTTTGGGCAATGGCCATACCCACCTTGTACATCTCCCATTGTCGAGTGAACGCTGACCACTGGTCTGGGTCACATCCAGCAGCTATGGTGGGTGGGTCCAACTTCAGTTTGGGAGCTGCGGCAGCTGCTGGCTGGGCCTGTGGCTGGTGAACAGTTCTATCGTGGATCTGGAGGGCTGCCGTCATCGCTGCGGCAAAAGCTGCATCCAGGTCCTGAGACTGCCACTCACATCCAAATACAGGGCACTCTAACGTTGGCATGTTGGGGAGTATAGATCGTCTTTTGTACCAAAATTGTCAAATTGTGTAGAACTGGTATCAGTCATAAATGATAACCATCATCCAATGAGTAACTCTTTAATTAACTAAGGATGACTGATACCTGAAACATATAGAAATAATATTACATTACATAAATGATTAGTTATGTATGAGAAAATGGAGCACTCTTATAGGCTGCTTTAAACGGTCAGAGGTAGGTTGATATTTGCTCTCTTCCATAGAGTAAACATATGAAGAAAATTCAGGTTTACTCACCATGTTGATGTTTTCCTTTCCTTGGTGCCGCCACCCCGAGTCACGCATTTCCGCCACCCCAAATGTACCGTTCTAACCGGTGGGGAAGGTCTTGTCAAAAGAAATAATATACATGTGAAATATGAAAGCCATTCAAAAGTTATGGCCAAGGTTAAAGTTTTTCAAAGTGGGTCAAACTTAAAGGTCAAGATCAAAAGGTAGAAAATTGTTGTACCCAAGGAAAGGTTTTATCACAAGGAATACACATGTGAAGTATGAAATCTCTGGCACCAACCATTTGAAAGTTATGGTCAAGGTTAAAGTTTAGAAAAATTTTGCAAAAGTGGGTCAAACTCCACAATCAAGGTCAAATATGTTGGTATTTAAAGAAAGGTCATGACACAAAAAATACACATGTGAAATATGAAAGCCCTACATGTAGCTCCAACCAATCAAAAGTTATGGGCAAGGTTTAGGTTTTTGCAGACAGACGGACAGGGAAAAAACTATATGCCCTCAAATCTTTGATTACGGGGGCATAAAAATAAATTAAGAGGCCTTGGTAGAATCACAATTCTGAGTTGAGGTTTTTCATAAATAACAGAGTGCTTCAGTGTCTGGTTTTATTGATAAGAACAAAAATAAATACTATGATGCAATTGTATCAACTGTTTACATGTATATAGAGGGGGAGAGAGAGAGTCTTTTTTGAGATGTTGAATAAATCTACAGGTTAATTGTGTGTTCTCAAAAAAAAAATTTCATTTATCGTTATTTAAAAATTCTGGAACCAAACAATACTTTCTTCATCTACTTTATCACCAATGAAATGGAAAGTAAAAAGCCTCCATTCCTCACTTTTTTTTTTTTTTTTTTTTTGAGAAAATTGGTCTGAGAACCAGAGAAATAAATTTATATGGCCTCATTGCAAATGGGTTTTCTGCAGTACTTATTTGTGTTTTATAATTTTTTTTATTCATTTGTGAATTCTGTCACTCCCTGAGTAGTATAAATATATAGATTCAATTCTAAATGATTTTACTTTTCAGGCAATGATTCACCACAGACTAAAGTAAGAAAAACAGAGGAAACAAAGAGGGTTATCCAAAAACCAGACTATTTTGACTCAGAAGTAGAAGAAATCTCATCAAAACGAGTAAGATAAGTGTGAACTACATGTACTTTAAGTGTTCAGTATACATGTTTGTATGAATTCGATAGTGTACAGTGAACATAAGTCAAATACTTTAATTCAGGACAAAAATTTCCAAGTTTGATGATGTGGTGTACTTAGGGACAAAAAGAATAGTAATCAGTCTATCCACAAATTTCCTTGTTCATGGACCTCTATGATATTCCTGTAATTTTTCAAATTTGGTACATTTTAACAGGTCCAAACAATATTTAGCTTTCGATCATAATATGAAAATAATGTGCGTTTGTTGTTTTTCTTTTTTCTTTTCTTTTTTTTTTTGTACTTCAGGCCAAGACTATAACTACAAATATCAGAAGGAGGGGGAGACCTAAAGGATCAACAAATAAACACATTTCATCATTGGACATTTCTAAAGGTAAATTGATTGTGGGTCTGCAATTTTATTAGGGTATGAGCCTTTGCTGTATCAGCAAATGTTTGGATAATCTAAAATATATGTTTGATCTTGATTTTGAGTCCAACTGCAAGATTCAGTTCTTTCATGCCTAAAAATCACAGAGGCTGTTTCCTCTAGTGAATTAATGTCATTTTTCCCAAACTTTTGAAATTATTTTCATATATTTAATATTTCTATAGCATATAATCGTTTTGGCCTGCTTTCAAAAGTTGGAACAAAAGGAAATTATACCAAGATTCATAATTCTGTTTCTGATGAAATACTGTAAACAGTGTAGTTCATATTAAAAACAGAAATTTTCATAAAATTAATTCTTTTAAATTGCTACTCATCCTACAGTATTTGTCTAAATTAAATACAACTTAGTACACAAATGAATTCATCAAAATCTTTTATCTATTTTTCATTTTTTTTTAAATTTCCATGAAATTTGTTGCAAGATTTCTAGAAAAAGAAATTTTTGTAAAAGCCTTAAGTGTGTTCAAATGCTATCCTCGTTCAGTTTTTATCTGATTTCAATAGAACCTGGTACATAAGTAGATAACATGGTTTTTGTTTTTGTTTTTTGTTTTATTTGGTTTAAATTTTGTTGAGAATAATTTTTTACCATTCTTACTAAAAATGGAAACTTTATGAAATTCTTTGAAAAAGCTAACTTAAACAGTTTTATCCAATATTTCAATAAATTTTGTCATGAAACTTCATGTGCACCAAGATACATTATTCTTTTATTGGATTTTTGATTCTGATGAACGGTGTTGCCATCGTTGCTAAAAACAGAAGAATTTGTGAAATTCTATCAAAAACACCATTCTTCCTACACTGCAATTTTGATTCTAGTAGAACTTGGTCTTTAGAAAACATCTGAATACATAATTAGGGCCCCGCTCTGCGGGTGCCCTATAGTGATCAGTCTGTCTGTCTGTCCGTCCTTCCATCCGTCTGTCCGTCCGAGATCTCCTGTCTGGAGCATATCTTCTCTTGGCCCAATCTGGCTCATACTTCACCCACAGAGTGCCTTTGGGTAAAGGGTGTGCTTTGACCTTGAACCATGTTTCTAGGTCTAAGGTTAAGGTCATAGCAGAATTATATGAAAAATCCTTGTCCGGAGCATATCTTCTCTCCTCTTGGTCCAATGTGGCTCATACTTCATACACAGAGTACCACTGGTCAATGGATGTGCAGTGACCTTGACCAAAGTTTCTAGGTCAAGGGTCAAGGTCAAAAATAGCCTCTCTGTGTAGATTCTTGTCCGAGGCATATTTTCTCTCTCCTTTGCCCAATCTGGCTCATACTTCAACCACAGAGTGCCTTTTGGTAAAGGGTGTGCAGTGACCTTGAACCATTTTTCTAGGTTTTTGGTTAAGGTCATAGCAGAATTATAGGAAAAATCCTTCTCCGGAGCATATCTTCTTTCCCCTTGGTGCAATGTGGCTCATACTTCACTCACAGAGTGCCACTGGCCAATGGATGTGCAGTGACCTTGACCAAAGTTTCTAGGTCAAGGGTGAAGGTAAAAAATAGACTCTCTGTTTAAAATCTTTGTTCGGTGCATAATTTCTGTCCCTTAAGTCCAGTCAGCCTCAAACCTTACCAATTGACTTAGGGTACAGAACATTTGTGATTTTCCTTCCATATTTTGATAGAGGATATACAACAATTTTCATAGAGGATATGCAACATTCATGATTTTTGTGCTGTTTTTTGATAGAGGGTATGGAGCACTCGTGATTTTCGTGCCATTTTTTATAATAACAAGGATGACATAGAAGCCCTTTAGACTAAAACAACACATCTCTTAATAGAACAAAAATGTTCCTCTTCAAAATAACCCCTTTTCAGCTACCTTACATTTTCATGTTCGTTGCTGAAAGCGGGGCCCTTTGAGATGGCCACCATCTCAATGATGTCTAGTTTTGGAAATGTAAAGATTTAAAATAGTGTTGCAAGTCAAACTTTTCTTTTTCAAAATTATAATTGTGACACGATAGCGGTGTTTTTCTTTGAAGTTTGCTGTTCTGTATTAGCAATACAGAACAGGAATGCAGTGGGCTGAGCTACTTTCCGTTCTGTATTAGCCCTGTATACTGTCTTGTATTAGCCAACTGTTCTGTATCTAAAATACAGCACGGTCTAAAAATAAATATGATTCAATTTATCAAAAGCACGTACAAATAGTAAATGCTGATTTTTTTTCCTATTATAAATTTTGGAGAAAAATTTTCTTAGGAATGTAAAATGTCAGAATTTCTCAATCACTTTTAAAAAAAATTATTCCACACAGAATCTACATGTTATATCGATCCGGGCCAAACGAAAAGGAAAATTCGCAATTATGGAAAACATCCTGTATTGGATAAATTCCTGAAAACCTGTTTGCTTTCGCTGCTTTTTGTGTCCCCTTCAAAATAGTAAAGCCAATGGGTTCACGGATGCAGCACACATTAGGTGAAATTCGCACTCCCCCTTCCCCCATTTTACACTCGTCTCGTGCAAACGCAATCAAGTCCATTTTTCAAGGTTTTTTTTTTTTAAATTTCATCTTAAATCCTTATCGCTGACGACTGCCGCACATCTCTTTCACTTCGTTTTTAATATGATCGCATTTCAATAAGAAAATAAAAATCCGTAACATCAAAGTCCATCGAAACACTGTCTGTATCCAGTATCGCCTGGTTGTGTATCTAGTTAAAATGAGATTTTAAGACCCCTGAAATTAGGATCAATCTTCATCTACAACAAGGTTAAATCGTCCACCATATCAATTAAGACTGACTTCAAGTCTGTTACGTCTACCCCGTTGTCAAAACTAATCTGACTAAATCTTACGTTGTCCGTGGAAATAAAGGATATTCAATGTTTTGTAGAAGAATATGGAATTTATTTCACGAGTGGGACAGGATTTTTTGATATTTTCACGAGTGCGAAGCACGAGTGAAAATATCAAAAAATCCTGTCTCACGAGTGAAATAAATTCCATATTCTTCTACAAAACATTGAATTTTCTGTTTATTACATTTTCTTTGATTTTGACTTTGCCTCTGTCTTTTCTATACACAGTGTCATAGGCTTGACGTCATTGTTGAGCGGTTGAAACGTCATAGCTTAGCAGTTGTATGATTGAAAACATTACATAACATGGATTTTAGCAACATACCGGTATTTGGGAAGAAATTTGCAGTTTTAGCTCTATCAAGATGCTTAGTTACTACATGTATTTCTATCTTATGACAGGCCAGAAATTATTTTTTACTTACTTTGATATCCTTTCACACTGTGAGAGAATATCATTTTGGTATCCTTTCACACTGTGAGAGAATATCACTTTTATTCAATAAATAAATCACAGTATTTCACTGTTGAAAATGTAATAAATATATATATATACTGCGGATGTATAGTCCCCGTCGAGGCCTCACAAACGAACTCTGGCCGAAGTTTGGATGCTGCACAGCTATAAAGTGGGCGGTGCTTTTTTTTAATTGATCGTGTCACAAATCATTTAGAGAGCTCGACAGGTTTTGTATCGTAGATACATGTACAAATTTGGGGGTGGAGACTCGTGCTACGCACTCGTCCACCCCTAAATTTGTATCTCCGATACAGAACCTGTCTCGTTCTCTAAATAATACTTACATGTACAAACCTGTTTTTTTTTATTATTCAAGGCAGTAAAATGAATGATCTCTTGGACTTGAAAAGAAAACAGTTGGAACTTGAAGAGAGAGCGGTAGAAGCACTGGAGAAGATAGCTAGTGCTCTGGAGGGATGGCAGCAGAAATCTAACTAATTGTTTGTTTTTTAATTATTTTTTTTTTTTTAGAAAAAATGTTAAACTGATTAAAGTCTTTTTAAACATAGATGCAGTCATTCTTGCATTCTTTCAGTTTATAGTGGTCGTGATTTAATAATTGAATGGCCTCACCCTTGTATGTCAAACAAGTTTGATTTAAGGAGGAGAAGGACCTTGAGCTGAAAAAATAATTGTCATTCAATTTTTTTCATATTTTGTATATTTCTAATTAAGTATGTCCCACATATCTTAAAGCAGTTATATCATTAGGTTTCTTACCTTATTTTGGAGATATTGATTGACAAATACTATGCCTTACAGTATCTAAGTGGAGTTTTAATTCTCCATGTTTTCAATAGTTAAAAGAAGACGTTAATTGTCAACATTGGTGGCAAAGTGCTACACAATAACCAATAGAAATAATGTTTTGTGATGTCATCCAAAGACTTTCATTATCTAGGATGTGTTCTAAAAGCTAATTTTATAATTAGTATAAAGAGAAGCATTTTTTAAAATGATTTATGGTACAAATTTGAGTTAAATATATCTGTCACCAGACGTCAATGCAAAGTATGGTAATTTACCCGGATTCTGAAAATTTTGTTAGCAAATTCATGCATAACGGATCAACCATGCTTTCCACCAATTCGGTGAAAAGCTAGAAATTTACATATCAACATTTAAAAAAAAAATCCACAATGACATTGATTGAAAAGGGACTGTACATTATGAATCAAGGGATGTTGTCAACAGAAGAATCATCTATATACATTAACTTAAGGATTTTTGGTCAATGTCAAGGATACATTCAGCACTGAAGAGTCTTTTTCGGGTATTTACAGGAGTGGCCCGCCCCACGCCCGCTCTTTGGACTTTTTTTCACAAATTATATATATTAGGCTTATTTTTGTATTCCATGGATTCTTGGATGTTGAAATTGATTCATTTCAATTAAAAAAAATGTATTTGTGAAACACTGATGCCCCCGTATGGCAGCTTATGGCGAAGGTTAAAGTTTCTCAAATGCAAGTCAAACTCCAAGGTCAAAGTCAAGAGATAAAAAAATTTTGTTACCCAAAGAATAGTTTTGTCTCAGGGAATATAACTGTGAAATACCGGTATGAAAATCCTAGCACTAAACATTGAAAAATTATGGCGAAGGTTAAAGAATGTTAAAGTTTTATGAAAAGGAAGTCAAATGTCAAGGTCAAATGGTCAAAATTGATGATGCCCAAGGGAAGGTCTTGTCACAAAAAATACATTAGGGAAAGATGAAAGCCCTATCACCAACCATTCAAAAGTTATGGACAAGGTTAATGTGTTTCAAAAGTAGGTCAAACTCCAAGGTCAGGTTCATAAGGTCATAATTGTTTGTATCCAATGGGAGGTCTTGTCACAAGAAAAACACTTGTGAAACATCAAAGCCAAGGCCATAACTACCTTTGAGGCAAGTAAGGCAAATGCCTCACTAAAATTTCAGAGGTTTCTGAAAAATGAAAAAGTTTAATTTACTTTGAACTGTAATTAATTATGTGTGTCTTCGTTCTAAATTAATACTTTCAACATATGTTTCATTTTCTGTAAATCGATCAGGTGTTTCATTATATTACAGTTTAGAACGCATGTTAAAAAAATCAAAGCGTGAATATTTCACAGATTAAGTCTTTAATTGGCTAAAAAGCCAGATTTCGGGAACTTCCCCCTCCCCTCGAGAATCCCCATCAGGACTCTATCCTGGACCCGCTTAAGACTCGGGTGCCCCTAGTCTTACTAAAATTTTGAGTCTAGTTACGCCCTTGAAAGCCCTATCACCAACCATTCAAAAGTTATGGACAAGGTTAAAGTTTATTTTTAAAGTGGGTCATACTCCAAGGTGAAAATGTCAAAATTGTTTATATACAATGGAAGTTCTTTTCACAAGGCATACACCAGTGAGGTATGAAAACCCTAGCACCAACTGTTCAAAAATTTTGACAAAGCTAAAAGTTTGATAACATTTTACAAAAAGTTGGTAAAACTCCAAGATCAAGAGGTCAAATATGTTGGTACCCAAAGAAAGGTCTTGTCGCAAGGAATACACATGTGAAATATGAAAGCTGTAGTTCCAACCAATCAAATGTTATGGGCAAGGTTACATTTTTTGCGGACAAAAAGATTATATGTAACAGACAACTAGACGGAGAGACAGGACAAAAACTATATGCTCCTGAATCTTCGATTACGGGGGCATAAAAATTGAAAGAAAAAAATTGGAATCCCCATTACTATAAAAGTATAACTTGTATCCTGGCCCGCGTGGCGCAGTGGTTAGAGCGTAGAGTCGCGGAGTAATGAGTTGATCCTTATGTCGTGGGTTCGAATCCCACTGTGGGGCGTGGAGACCGGTCCTTCGAATGAGATCGTATTAACCGAGGTCCTGTGTCGCAGTTAGTGCTGGCATGAAAAAATTCCCCACTGCTCAATGGCTCTGAGTATCGAGTACAGGTCTAAAATGCAGCCCAGCAATGGCAACTGATGGCATCTCAATGAGCGAAAAATTCTCGGAAGGAACGTTAAACAAACAAACAACTTGCATTTCTTTGGGACTCGGAAGTATTTTGTACAAATGTAATTGGTGACTTTGTTTGAAGTTTTTATGAGAAAGTTTAGATACGTCACAGAAAATCTGAAGGCATGATATTCATGTTACATATTTCCAGCCTACAATAATTCGTTTTATGTAATTCTAATCTCTGTACTTTTATGATTTTGGTGTTTATTTCTTAACATCTATCTAATAAATAACCAAGTTAAAGCCTTGTCTCAGCCTCAGAGTTAAAGTTCAGTAAAGCGCATTAAAGTGGTAAAATTGTTCGTTTGAATGGAAGGTTTGGGTCTTCCTTATCGAATGTTAATTGTTACATATTAATGACTCGCCCATTTCTTTAGAAACGAGAAAGAAATACTCGTCGTAATGCTCTAACAGTTTAAAATTATAAATAGAATTCAAATAAATTCCACATTCACTAAAGAAAAGGAATGCATGTCGGCAAACTAATGGATGCCATAACTAAGCTCCGGAGAAAATATTAAGTTTGTTAAAGGTTGATATTTTCTTTTAGACCCACTTCTCAAACCTTCTACTATCATTTGTCTCGAATCATTCTTGGGGAAATATTGGTGATTAGCGTTACTCATGCGCACTGAGTTCACCCCAAAAGTATATCAGAGAGGATTTCTTGGGATGAGTTTGCAAGAAACATGACAAATTGTAGGCAAAATTTTCAAACAACAGGTCAATAAACCAATTAATTGCCCATTGTGCTACGTTAACTAAGAAATTAGAATTTTATATGTTTTGAAGTTGAAAATTTTTAGGAGTTGTGATAGGGAAATGTACTACATTGAAAGTGCACTAATGCCATTTTTTTTGTGGGTACAGGCATCTCTATATATCGGCACACACATAGTTTTGAAATTTAGTATATTCCGTATTGTGGATTTTTAACCTTTCATTGATGCAGATCAGTTTCATTCTTTCTTAGGTAACCTTAGTCACTTTTAGGTGACCTGTTGTTATCTGTTTTGTCCGTTGGTCGTCGTCACCTTTGAACATTTTCAGCTTCTTCTGTGGAACAGCGAAACCAATTTCAATTTATTTTGGTATATGGCATGCGATCTTCAAAAAAATTCTTCACTCCTTGACATCATGCAAGCACTCAAACTGTTAGCATGAATTTATAAAATGAGCAATGAGCCCTCTATTCATCCTCGAAAGCCACTTAGGTTTTGTGGGGAGGGAATCGAAGCAGGCAAAAACCCCTTAATTGGTGCGAAGGTGCCATGCACCTACTAAAATTGTGAAATTCATGGTCAATGGGATAAGGTCTCAGGCTCCAGGAAAGGAATAATTAAGTAGGCTTTATATTGAAAATTTAGTATAAAATCTTTTTCTTTACAATGGATATCTAACAGACAAACTGTCTTATTATTAGAATGCCTTTTATCAGTCTGTTTATCAAAACTGTAAAATTCGTGGACTATGAGCTGGTCAAGGGGTTAAGCTGGTCATGTATTTAAAATACATATTGCATCTTTTATATGTCTTTACTCAAGTAGGCAAGCCTCCGACAACTATGTTGATGTTACAGTATCGTTTAAGGACATACGCAACGTACCTTATACCTACCGATAATTTTTCAGGATATCCTTAATTTAAAATTATATTACCATCAGATGTCTGTAGACAAAAAAATCATCATGCATTACCAAGGGTTTTGAATACTAGTAGATATCAATTGATGAAAATTCTTCTATAATTAAAAAAAATATGAAAAAAAATACTAAATATATATTATAGATTTTTCTTTCATCGAAATTTGTTTTAGAAGTGTACAAATATTAAAAAATTAGCACACATGTCCTTCAAGTATTGGAACTCTTAAACTCCAGGGAAAACGATAAAAAAGTTCAAACTGCGTTGCGTATGTCCTTAAAGTCAGCATTTTGCAAATTATATGTCTGGTCATTTAAACAATAAAATGCTTTCTTTGATTGTTAGTACGGGAATTAATGTTGCAGCTGATGCAGAAAAATATGTATTTTTTTTCTGCAATAGCTACAATGTTACAACCAAAGAAAGCATTTAATTGTTTATATTTATATCTGTGCAAATGATCATTTAAAGCTATATATGGCTTATCTGAGCTAAAAAATAAAAATACGAGATTAAGTGTAGATCAACATGAAATTTTTTATTTACGTTCAAATTAAAATTTTCACCGATTTTGAACTTGAATATCCCCACGTTTCTGTAGTTAAATTGACTTTAAACTGTGTCTGATATTTAAATGCGGAGTCGTTAAATAAATCGGTTATTGTTTTAAATCGCTGATATCTATGAAACGGAATTGACTTAAATTGTGTAATTTACAGGAAAGTCCTATCTTTATATAAAGCAATAAAACAAATAGTAAGATCTTTTTAATTTTAGTTAGTCTGAACTTACCAAAAATACGCCATATATGACTTTAAAGTAGGATATTAATTAAGTAGGTTAAATATTGTATTATTGATATGTACATCATTTTCATTGATGGAGGAGCCATGTAGAGAAGATATGCTCAACAGTGTTTATTGACTGATAAACGAGAATGGTTTTCTTAAAAAATAAAGGAGATAATTAATTTAATATTCAGTGGATGTCAGTAAATATTATACAATGATCTTGTTTTGAAATACAATGCAACCTATCCTTGGGTCGAATTTTGGCATGATTTATATATATATAGGTAAGCTCACTGTTTTTAAACGAATTTTGACTAATAGATGGATTGCTCCGTTTACTTGATCAATACAGCTAGAAGGCTCACGGCCAGGGCGTGATTGGTCGACGGAGTATGCTTACTCCTCCTAGTCGCCTGGTCCCACTTCTGTGATTGGCCACAGTTTAATTGTTGTTTTCATCTTTCCCATTCTTCATCACAATTATTAATTAATCTAAATATATTCATCGCTGTTTATCACAAGGTAAGCCTATGAGCAAAGTTATTTAAAGATAAGGCCAGCATTTTTTAAATTTTTATTTTTAGGTTTACGAATCCCAGAATGATGTCAAAGCCCCGTAGGAGGAGAAAATAAAATAATAATAATAAAATCAATATTTTTATAAATTAAAAAAATCAACTTTATTCTGTCATGTACATTTATTTTCGCTGCTTTTTTGATACTCTTCTAACAGTCTCCCTGCCACTGGCCAAACAATGGTTACAAATAGGACAGTCTATAGATAGATATTTACATTTGCAACTGTTTTCTTTTATATAACACTAGCTATTATAAGCAACACGTATCATAAAGGGTCGACGCGCAATCAATGGATCAAATAGTTGCCGCTGAGTTTGAAAAATAAAACATTACAAGCGTTAATTAATGATTATAATCAGGAAAATATAAAATATGAATAAGTCATAAATGTAAATATAAGTAATAATGTATCATTTTTAAACATCTATCGGGATATAAATACGGGTTGGTATGAGGTCAAATTTACCCTAAAGCCCTTCGGGCTTTATGGAAATTGATCTCGTGACCAACCCGTATTTATATCCCGATAGATGTTTAAAGTGATACATTTTGCATATAACAGACAGGGGGTATATTGGGGGAGTGGGTCAAAATTTTTTCAACTAAGTGTCAAATAATTGTTCTGGCTGTCCTTCACTTTCAAAACCGATACTATGTTCCTGTGTGATACTATACTTGTTTTCAATCTCTACCCAGAGTTATCGTTCCTGCTTCGCTCCACTTATGTTGTAGCGAAGCGTAATACGCCCTCTGGTGAGAGATTGACTTGTTTTCTTTCTTTATTAGTTGAAATATATTTCAAAAGTTACCTGTGAATAAAGATACAAGTTTATAAACAAAGTTTATATATGTAACTGTGTAAAATCAGACTGGGAGAATTAAGTAACAGATTCATATTGATTACAGATATTTTTTGCATGCATCTGCTCACAAATACAAACAAATCTGGACAAAAACATAAACTGATAAATATACAAGGAATCGGAATCTACATTTACCCTCTCCAGCTACTTTCACTTGAATGTGCGATGAGTTCCGAATGGTGCGTTTTCCTTCTCCGCTGTGACGAAAAACAATGAGAGGGGTTGCAAGAAAACGAAGTTTTGATAGAACAGTAGTTAAGAAATGCCCAAAATGTGAAAAACAGGTAAAGTATGTACTATTGCAAAATATCATATGTAACGTAAACACGCTCATGAAGTCGCTCTACCAGTTCAATCACAAGAAATTGAAGAGAAAATTCAAGTGACATGTGAACAAAAACAATAAATTCCGTAAACAGTTCAGTAGATAACGTTACACTACATAGTTTTAGCACAGGGGAATATTAATCGATTTTGCAAATATGCCACAAACTTCAATTGTATTTGTGTCGCTTAGAACGTTTAATTAATAAGATGTTTTAATAGATGCAAAGTTCGATACTACATGTATTAATTAAGTCTGTAGTGGATTCACTGACTTCTCAAAGGAGATCTCACAGAATTACATACTGCCATTAATTCATGAAAGTCTGTACATGTATGTTTTAAACCAAGAATAAGTAATAAATTTATGGACAAGCATTAAGTAATTACACAGATGAACCCTTTTAAAATGAAATATTTCATTGGCAATTAAAAATCTGTATACAATATTTAAATTCCTAAGAAAAAGAATTTACCAGTCCCTTCAGAATTAAAGGAATAGAAATAAGAAGTCTGAATATTGTTTTGTTAACTTCCTTTTTAATCAAATTTGTTGTTTATGCATTACCAGTATTGGATATGAATTTTATAATATTTTACATGCACTGGTTTGAAATCTGACTTAATTGTTGAAAAATGTCTGCTTGTGTTTACATAGTTAATGTACTGTCTGGAGAATAATCAAATGTTCTGATGTCAAATTCAGTCCTATATAAATGCATGTCATAAATATCTGGTACATATGGAAATGTTTTCCAGTTCTAAGTATTTGAAAATGACTGAATTAGTCTTTCTAAGTATGTAAAAAAGTGAAACTAAAACAAAGAGACTGGCCGAAGAGTCGGGCAAGAGTGAAACTGTGCGACACAATTAAAGAAGACAGATGAAAAACCGATAGAAACATGGGGTTTTTATGCCCCCGGATCGAAAGATCCCAGGGGTATATTGTTTTTGTCCTGTCTGTCTGTTTGTCTGTTTAGTTTATCTGTTTGTCTGTTTGTCCGTTTGTCTGTTTGTCCATTTGTCTGTTTGTCTGTCTGTCTGTTGTCAACTTTAACCTTGCCCATAACTTTTGATTGGTTGGAGCTATGACTTTCATATTTCACATGTGTATTCCTTTTGACAAGACCTTTCTTGGGGTACCATCATATTTGACCTTTTGACCTTGACCTTGGAGTTTGACCCACTTTTGCAAAATTTTATGAGACTTTAACCTTGGCCATAACTTCTGAACAGTTGGTGCTTGGGGTTTCAAACTTCACATGTGTATTCTTTGGGACAAGGCCTTCCTTTGAATACCAACAACTTTGACCTTTTCTCCTTGACCTTGGAGTTTGACCTACTTTTGAAAAACTTTAACCTTGGCCATAACTTTTGAACAGTTGGTGCTTAGGGTTTCAAACTTCACATGTGTATTCCTTGTGACAAGACCTTCCTCTGGATATCAACCACTTTGACCCTTTGACCTTGACCTAGGAGTTTGACCTTTTTTTGAAAAACTTTAACCTTGGCCATAACTTTTGAATGGTTGGAGCTAGGGCTTTCATACTTCACATATGTAATCCTTGCGACAAGACCTTCCTTTGGATACCAACCACCACTTTGACCTTTTGACCTTGACCTAGGAGTTTGACCTACTTTTGAAAAACTTTAACCTTGGCCATAACTTTTGAATGGTTGGTGCTAGGGCTTTCATACTTCACATATGTAATCCTTGTGACAAGATCTTCCTTTGGATACCAACCACTTTGACCTTGACCTTGACGTTTGACTTTTATTTAAAAAACTTTAACTTTCGCCATAACTTTTGAACAGTTGTATCTAGGTCTTTCAAATTTCACAGGTGTATTCCTCGAGACAAGACCTTTCTTTGGGTATCAACATTTTTTATCTTTTGGCCTGCATTTTGACTTGCATTTGAAGAAACTTTAACCTTCGCCATAAGCTGCCATACGGGGGCATCAGTGTTTGGCAAACACATCTTGTTAGAATTATAATTATTTTATAAATATACTTGTACATACTTTGTTCTTATATAATATATATTTTAATTTTAAATCATTATTCATATCTGATTCATAATAATTAAGATATTTGACGTTTATATCTAAAATCTTAATGAAAAATTAAAGAATGATTCTGGTACTTAGTGTATTTCCCCCAAATCCTGAACAGGTGGTGTTTATCTTTTTTGAGATTGCTCTGGGTGTTAGGGAATGATAACACTACAATTCTTATTTTTTTAAATTTTTTTTTCAAGTTATCATGTTAAAACATCATCATTTATCAACCAAACACACTTTATCCACCCAGAAAATTTTATAAAGATATGTTAATTTCTGTAAAAGATATGAGCTCAGTCTACGGAGTTTAGGAACAACATATAACTTCATTTATTTTTTGTCCCCGCACTCGTGAAAGCTAGCGGACATTAAATCTCGTTTGTCTGTCAGTGTGTCCATCTGTCAGTCAGTTACAGAAACTTTAACCTTAGTCATTACTTTTGAATGAGAAAAGATGAGGCTTTCATATTTCACACATACATTACCCGGTACCGGTAACAAAACCTTTCCAAATGTACCTTGAAGTTTACCTACTTTTCAAAAATTTTAACATTGGAGATAACTTGTGAATGAGAAAAGACGAGACAATTAATCATATTTGAGATGTGCATTACCTGTGACAAAATCTTTCCAAATTTTCTATGGTTTTTGACTACATGACCTTGGAGCTTGACCTACAGGTACTTTTCAAAAATACTAAACATTGCTGGTAACTCATGTAACTTAAGAATGAGAAAAGATAAGGCATTCATATTTGACATGTGCATTACTTGTGACAAGACCTTTCTGAATGGTGTTTGACCTCATGACCTTGACCTTAAAGTTTAACCTTCAGTATTTTTCAGAATATTTAATATTGGTTCACTTACAACTTTTGAATGAGAGAAGATAGGGCTTTCTTATTTTACATGTACATTACCTTTTGACAAAATCTTTCAGAAAGAATTAGCAGTTTTGACTTTATGACCTAGAAGTTTGACCTGCTTATAAGAAGATTAACTTTTCAATTGGCCTTATTTTTTGCTCCAGAAGAGACAGGGTTTTCATCTTTTTTCACTAGACCTTTTGGATTGTTGTATTATATTTGATCTTATGACCTTGATCTTAAAGTTTGATGCAGTTTTAAAAAACTTTAATCTTTGCTGTAACTTTTATTAATTCAAAAAAAAAATTTTTTTGTATGATGGACAAACAAAACAGGACACACAGACAATACAGTAACAATTTACCATAAATAATTGCATCCGTCCCACTAAGATACCAAAAGTGAGGGACCACAATTCTCTGAATTTGCTTGTTTCATTTATTTTATTTTTTTTTTTTCATAACAGATTCCAGTTGCTTGTAAGTTTTGTACCTGTGGTCACCAGTTCTGGTCAAAGAAGTTTCCAACACTAATATCAGGATCTCCGGGTAAGCTAATATTGACTTTCTTCAGGCCACCTAGTTCTTCATGTGTACTAGAAAATGAGGCTCATGGGCTTTGATAGTCACCTAATTCTCGATCAGAATTTCCTCATACTCTTAAAGACATACCTGGTACATGTAAGCCAAATATATGCCATAAACAAGCTTTTCAAGTTGCTCTTCTACAAATACATGTAATATTTGTATTTTATCATTTTGTCAGCAATAAACTTCTAATTTCTCTCTTTGTTACTATTATAAGTTATTCCCATAAGAGTATTTCACCTTGAGTTTGTATAAATGGGATGGGAAAAATCATGAAAATTAATGCTTTTGTCAAAAATACCGGTACACATGTATGCTTATTTACTCCTGTACACCAAGCAGCCAAACTCAGAAACTCCAAAGAACTTTAGGAAAATTTAAAGTCACAAAATTTTTCAACAAAAATCAGTCACATCAAAACATATAACTTTTCTTACACTTTATTCAACCATTCCTTACAATAAATTAAAGACTAGGTCTTTTCATACACTGCTTCTTAAAATAAAAATGGAACTCAGAAATTTTTCATTTCATATGATTGGTCATAATTACAAAATTACTGTGTTATCTGCCACAACGGAGGAGGAGGGTATATAAAGTAACACGCTTGAGAGTGTGTAGGTGAGTGGCTTAGTTAGTCCTTGTGCCCATAATTGAAGTGATGCAATTTGTACCGGAATTGATGTTGAATGCTGCCTTGATTTATATATATATACCTGATCAATACATAGGACTTACAACAGGTGTGACAGGTCAACAGAGGATGCTTACTCCTCCTAGGCACCTGATCCCACTTCTGAAATTTCTGATGTCCATGTTATATGCCCTGTTCACAAATTTGTATTAATTAAAGATTTTTGAGATTGATTTCTGTTAGATCTTCATCTTATTTTCTTCATTGCATAATGTAATGAATGGATGATGAATCCACTTTCAAAGTTTGAAATTCATAATAATTTTATTCAAGATTTCATAGGATCCAAGGTAAGGTTAAGTTGTTCCAACACTGAAAATACCATGCTATATACCATAATAGTTATTTTGTATTGAAATGCTGTATGTAAACATAAAGGTTTCAAACATCTCTTAGCTATTGTTCCCAATATGTAAATAACTTTGTTTTCTTCAGACAATGAATCACCTACAGGTCGAGTAAGGAGAACCGAGAGGACAAGAAGAGACAGTCAGAGACCAGACTATTTCAACTCAGTGGTCATAGACACCCAGTCCAAACGGGGAAGAAGAAAGGTGACACTTATAAATAGTACTTGTAGATTTCTGCAGGAAGAAAACATAATCCTAAAAAATCTTTATCCTAAATAAAATTCATAATTTATGTGTACAGGGTTTTGTAGATAATGGAGCACTGTGTTTACTTTCATAAAAATTGCATTATTCATATGTTTTTAAATTTATTTTATTTCTGTGTCGTACATTAGTATTACCCACTATTAATTCAATATAAATATAAATATTGTTTGATAAAATTTCAATGGATTTTCACAATGAATCAATCATATTTAGATAATTCTACCACATTTTGTACTTTGAAATTAGATTTAATTTAATTTTTGACCACCAGTCCCAGTCCTTAGTTGCACACCATGTACAAGGGGAGAACACTCCTACCCCAGCCACATCAGACAGCAGTCCAGTGAAACGGCGACGAGGGAGACCTAGGGGAACACCCAATAAACCCTTGCTACCAGATAGGAACATTACTAAAAGTAATTTTATTATGGACCATATATTCTTTAGTTGAGTTTCTCCACAAATTTTCTATTTTTTTATTATCATCCTACAATATATTCATATACAATACAAGTATAGTTTCAAAAATTATTAAGACATTTTGATACCAAGTTGATATGGTATATCTTCTTTATGGAGGATTAAATAGCAAGGTAGATTTCTGTCTTCTTAAGAGAGAATGAGAGAAGAGAATAAATTCTGAGATTCTTTTATACGCAACTCATGAATAACAGGGGTTACTGTAGACAGGGTAATTTTGCCCGTTTTATTTTCGCTCCTTTCGGCGTACTCATAGGTGGACAAATTTAAAACGGGGCAAATTCAAAGAACAGGTTTTATTTCTTAAACAGAATTGTGACTGGGCAAATTTAAAACTGGGCAAAATTGTTTGCAAGTGTGAAAGGGCCAAAATAACAAGGGGAGAAAATAACCCAGTATATATAGTGATTAGGGTGTCCATCCTTCCATCTCTAATACTTGGGGGTACCCGTCTCTTTTCTGCAACTCCTCCTATTCCATTGAATAAAACTGAATGAGACTCACAGAATCTTCATTACATAGTCCCATTGTGCACCTCCTATTATATGTTTTAATCAGACAGATATTTTGGGTTTACCATAGCAAAACATGGACACAGCCATTCTTTCTATAATATTTGGGGGTACCCATTTCTTAGCTGCAACTCCTCCTATACTACTGAATAAAATTTAATGATACTTTCACAGATTCTTGATTACATAATGCCATTGTGCATCTCTTATTTTCTGATCGGACAGATATTAGGGGTTTTCCATAGCAAAGCTAGGACACTGCCATTATTTCTATGATAATTTGGGTATACTCATCTTTTATCTGCAAATCCTTCTATAATACTGAATAAAATTTAATGACACTTTCACAGAATCTTCATTACATAGTGCTATTGTGCATTTCCTATATTTAATGTTCAAATAGGACAGATATTTGGGGTTTACAATATCAAAACATAGACATTGCCATTCTTTCTACAATATATAGGGGTTACCCATCTCTTATCTGCAACTCTTCCATTACCACTGAATAAAACTTTATGAGGCTTTCACAGAATCTGATTACATAGTTCGCATCTCTGCTTGAAAGTAGTGTTAATCACTTTTTATACATAAAATCCTTATTTACGTGAAAAACAGGTATCCAGAGACTTGCAATAAATATCTTGTAAATAAACTGTTCTTAAAGTAGAAAATTTTCCTTAACATAACTTGATGTAAATTTTTGAAATTTAATTAGTTCTGAACCTCAAAAAGCAGAAGTAATGCTTATTTCAGATTCCCGGAATAAATCAACATCTACTAGAATCATGATTAAATTTCATTTTATTACATGCAGCTATATGTACAAATATGTATAAAACAATTCATGCAATCACAATAAGTATACATGTATTGCAAGACAAAAGGGTCTCGGTTTCACTTGAGCGGATGTACAGCCGTAAACCTGAACAGGTGTTTTTGAAAGCTGTAATATATGGTATGCAAGTGTTCAGTACAGTATTTTTACCTATGAATATTATAGTATAGAACTGTTTACCACATTCAGTTGCTTAGAGTTTCCTTTCCACTTATCTTATGTTAAATTATATATAGTGCTTAAATTGTAATTAAAGACATTAATTTTTTTCACTTACAAACAAAACTCACAAATATTCAGCATAACGATCTTTCATACATGTTTGACCATTGGAAAGCGTAATGAGTTTAAATTTTCATCATTTAACCATCTTATTAATTCACACAAGGTTCAAGCATTTTTTTCTTCAATTAAGTAGACTGTTTAACCCCTGCTTTCCTCTTCTTGTACCCCAATTCCATCAGTATAACTTCTGGTTAATATGCACTAATACCGCTGTTATAATATTAATAATAATAATATTTTATTTAAAGAGGGTGACTCATTTAGTGTAAACACTATTCTCTGCATAAATGACAGTTACACATAATAATCATGATAGATCACAAACATTCTACAGTTGTATTATAAACACACTATATTAGCAAAACATACATGCACTACTACATATGTATTTAAATATTCACAGTCAACATATAGGACTACAGTGTTTGAAATTTAAGTTGATCATTGGTCTTTTATGAATTTTCTTGTTTTTGATTTAAAATTTTGGAGTGTAGGAGACATTTTTATATGTCAAGGTAAAATGTTCCACAATATTGCACCTGAATATTGGAAGACGTTTTGGAATATTTTTGTTTTGCATTTTTTGGACACACAACTCAGAATTAGACTCAGATCTAAGATGATAGCAATTGGATGATTGATAACTGAACATTTCAGCCAGATCACTTTGACTTAAATCAAAAAGTGATTTATGGGTGAATTCAAAAAAAATGACCACCAAACTGAATTTTTTTGGCAAAATTCAACTATACTTATAACATATTTTTCACTTATATCATCATATTGCAAATGCATTCTAGTTTAAAATCCTGAAATGGCAATAGAATAGACAATTGGATTAAAAAGTTTCAGAATTTTTATGAGTAAAATTTCTTTTGAAAAAATAAAATATTATTACACCTTAAAAGACTTTCTAAAATACATAATCACAAGAAATTATAGTTTTTTTATGCTTCAAAATGGAAAAAAGGGGGTATAAATGATTAAATCTAGACCTTGAATGAGCATCTTCTCTTGTACATGTGACAAAAAATTGGCTTTTTGATTGTTATTTTACATTATTTTTTTCAATTCTGGTTTGAAAAGTTTTAATATGAAAAAAATATGAAGCTTTAAAATTCCCCAAAATTCACTTTTTTGTCCATTCAAGTCAATTTTTTAAATCTAAGCCAAAAAAGAATTGTTATATACGAGTTCTCTTACAAAAAATACTTATATTTTGAAGTGACCCTATGTTGCATTATTGTGTTGCACTCGTGACATCTAATATGTATTTTATTTATCATTGTTTTAAAAATTATAACACACAATAACCCACTCTTACTTTGTAAATCAATTTGTCGTGTTGATATTTTTCATCGTTTACAGCAGGTTTTTCATATTTTGAAGACCTTAAAACATGATTATTTGCAAAGTGTAATATATATAAATTTTATTTAAAATATATGTGAAATGATGAATACTATTCCCTGAATTGACTGTAAAATTTCTGTAATTTGTTGATAGACAAAGTGTTTTGAACATCAAATAGTATCAAGCATTTTTTTTTTCAACTTATTTTTTAGTAAAGATAGTTAAAAAGCATCGGTAATTATGAAGCAGTTTTGTTGCACTCCTGGCTGCAGTCAAGTTTAAAATTAAAACCACAGAGCACAAAAATTCATAAAGTGTTGGCAACATCAAGTGGTAATGAAATTGTGCAATACTTATAGTCCAATACTTCATAATTAAAACAGATGAAAGTATTTAAAATTCGCATTTTATCTGGAATTATACCCTATTTTATGCCAAAAAACTAGCTTAAATGTATATTTAGAAGATAAAATATATTTTAAAGCATATTTTCCTTTAGAGGACAAACACAGTAACCCACCAGAAAAATTCTGCTCATAATTTTTTCTTTATTTTTATTCTTAGTGGATGATTTATAATTCTAACATATTTGTTGCACTCCTGACCAAAAGCATTGGGGCCTTTAAAGTAGAATTGTGAAGTGAAAATTACATAAGAACTTGTTCTGTTGTTTCAGTGAAGTTGAGGAGGAATTACTTGAATTTGATGACAATGTTTTAGTGTGTTTATTTTCAACGTTCATTAAAAAAATCACAAAAAAGATAAAAACACATCTGAATTGATAGAATTGAAAAAGGAAGAATTTTAATAATAAAACTATCAATAATTTAGCATTAAATTGTGCAAAAAGATCATTATTAATTAATGAATACCTCTAAGCATGAATAGAAGTCTTTTCAACACACAACTTGAATCTTTAAAAAAATGTGTTGCACTCCTGACCATAGAAATATGGATCTGAAGCACAGACAGATCCTGTAGTTGATAAATCTATTTGGTAAAAATGTTCTTTGTGTCTTTATTTTCCAAAATAAAAATCAGAAAATCATATAATGATAATAGTTTTTTCATGCTTGGGAGCAAAACATCAAATGTTGCACTCCTGACATTTTTGGGTATGCACATATACTTGACTCTCATTAATGCTGCTTGTGATTTATATAACATATTTAAGTTTTAAAATGTATATCAGTTATTATTTTACACTTCCAAAATTCTTTTTTGTCTTAATTTTCTATCAGAATTTTACAATTGATGTTTTTTTGGCAACACTACATTTTTTCTGTTGCACTCCTGACATGGTATGACATTTTTTTAAACATCAGTCATGACCACAACTTGATTAAACAAAAGTTATGACAGTCCACATTTAAAGCTCAATACTTTGAATATTATCAGGAAAGTCTTTTTTTTTTTTTTTAAATGAACTTTATTTCCCAGACCTAATCTATAACAAAGAAGATATCCTTATATTTGAAAAGAAGGCAGCTATCGGGGATGGGGCCCCGACTAAGCTCCAAGTGATACAATAGCTATTGCATCTCGCAGGATGCATATACCTGTATAATCAAGATACAATGTATATTATAATTTATATTATGTAAATTTATACTTTAGATATCATATAATTCAATATACTGATTTTTGTACAGCTTGCAAATTAAATTGATAAGATGTATTATAATTATGCCACGCTGCCATAATGAGTCCATGTCGTCCCACTACAGTCCATATTTGACTCATATGGCAGCTCTATCAGAGGACTGGACCCTCTTAATAGTGGCTATTAATACAACAACTCTTATAGTTTATACATATTCATGTTTTAACATTGAAGTACAATAGAGAAAAAAATATATTGAAAACGAAAAGTCATACATAATAATGAGATTAAGTTAATATAGTTTTTTTTATGTTATATACATATATATTTATATATATATATTCATATGTATAAAAGTTGGATGATTTATATCACAGACTTTCTTCGACCTTTTTAAATATATTTATTTTCCAGTTCTTGTATTTTGATCTTTTAAGAGCATAATAAAACATGTTTAAGGATTTTTTAACTTGACAAAGAATTGCTTTTGGCGTTTCAGCTATTTCTTCCAGTCTACATAGCATTTTGTATTTATAAATTCTAAGGGCTACAAATGATATAAGATTGGTAAATAAAATTGTTTTTCCGTTGACTTCATTATAGAATCCTACTACTATAAGTTTCCATGATACATTAAATTTTAAAATTTCACTAACAACATTCCATATTCTTTGAACATTTTGGCATTCGTATAGTAAGTGTTTGTTTGTTTCAACGCATTCTTTACAGTATGGACACAGATTAGATATGTCATTCCATTTGCTTAAATAACTTCTATTATTAAGTAGATTATTAAGTATTCTGTAGTTAAAATCTGCAATTTTTTTGTCAAAGGCTTTGACAATTTTGGAAAAATATATTTTTGATAAACATTGATTCTGGATAATGAATTCTTTTCTAAACTTGTTAATATAGCATGGCTTTACAAATTTTTTATTTTTAAAGATATCATAATAGAACTTGCATTTTTTGTCTTTGATACAGTGATATTCATTATCATTTAAAACAAAATGAAAAGTATTTCTGATATTTGTATATTTTGATAAGCTGAAATCAAACTGATTCTTATATTTCTGAAACACATTTTTCAATATCAAGTACTCACAAAATATGTTATTTTTTTTAACAAGCATGTATAAAAAGTATTCGAGTGGCTTAATACCATTTTCATCCACAATATCTTTTACATATAAGATTCCAGCATCATACCAGTTTTCAAAAAATAATACCTTATTTTTGTAGTTAAAAATTTTGTTTCCCCATATAGATTGTCTCAGAAAGTCAAATGTGGTCATTTTACTTATTTCCATTGAGCTCTTAGTTTCACTAAATGTTTCAAAAATTTCTCTATAAAATATCGGAAGACACTTAAGTATATTGTGATTATGTATTGCTAAGTTTTTAGTGTGTAACATGTAGATAATATCTTGCTTTCTTAAATTGAAATTTTCTAAAAAGATTTTAATGTTGCTTTTTTCATTTGATATTAATTTGGAAATCCGTGAACATTTAATTGCTTTCGCTTTAGACTCTATATCCACAACTCCTATACCACCCTGCTGTATATCCCCTATTAAGGTTCTTCGTTTTATTCTGTCTCTCTTATTCCAAATAAAATTGAAGATAATTTTATTGATATTTTTTATGATATTAGCACTAGGATATGGTAAGAGTGAGAGGTTGTATATTAATTTGGATACAGCAAGATTGTTAATAATGCAGGTTTTCCCGAATATAGTTAATTTTCTTTTTTTCCATGATTCGAAAAGTCTCTCAAGCTCTTTAATTTTGTTTCCCCAATTTTTTTCAATACATTTCTCTATGTCATGACCAATATGAATTCCTAACACTTTAACACATTCTTTGTTAACCTTTACTCCATATAAATCATGTGCTGTATCCTTCAGATTGCCTAGTAACATGCATTCCGTTTTGCTAATATTGAGAGTCAATCCAGATATATTTCCAAAGTTCTTTATACATGTTACTGCTTGTATTAAAGATTTTTTATCACGGAGTGCTAATGTAGCATCATCAGCATGTTGTATCATTTTTATGTCTGTTGACATCTTAGGAGTTTTAAATCCAATAATGTTTTCATCAGACATTATTTTTATTGATAAGATTTCTGCAACAAAAAGGAATATCATCGAAGAAATAGGGCATCCTTGTCGTATGCCCCTTTCCATATTGCACGTTTTAGAAATCCATCCATTATTTTTTAGTTTGAAAATTGGTTCTTTGTACAAAATCGATACCCATTGCAGAAAATTGTCCCCAAAGTTAAAACGTTTTAAGGTTTCAAAAATAAAATTCAATTCGACTGAATCAAAAGCTTTCTGGAAATCTAAGAAAAGTAAAATTCCATCGTAGTTTTTATTTTCAACAGGAAAGTCTTTATTTTCAACATGAAGCATTGTTTTTTATTTCACAGATCTCCAAAAAATATTGAAATTTCAAAATGTCACAAAAATGTGTTGCACTCCTGACAATTTTAGCGTCATTTTTGGGCATAACTTTTTTGTTAATTGAGATATCAACGAGATATTTGGCAGGTATTTAGACACTATCTAAAGACATATGCTGAGACATAGAAATCTATTTTTATTGCCTGTATTTTTAGTGTGGGTTGATAAATATGCGTTTGGTCATTTTTTTTTAATTCACCCTTATACAACAAAATATACTTATTTTTAACCAATTGTTCGTGTACAGTTAGCCAATCAAGTTTTTCAAATGAAGGTTTTGATGGTGTATCATTAGGCAACATCAAGAATACAGCGAGCTGCCCGCTTTTTGCAACTTGTGAATCCTGTCATAGAATCCCAACTGATTGAAGCAAAACTAATTAGTGCACATGTGCAGCATCAGAGCCTTTATATTTATTGTATGGACCCACAATTATTTTTTTTTCTCCCAATTTCTTTCTGTATGGATCAGAAGCAACCTTGAGGGTGTCGGGGTGTAATTTTTGGAAAGTGAGAAATTTCTACATAGTAAATGCATAATGAGGATTAATAAAAAAAATTGAGATTAGATAGATAAGACTAAACAGCTTTAACATTGAACTGTGATTAGATTTTACTACTACATGTACCATCTATTCAACACTTAACTGCACATTCTGAAAGTAACTTGTTCATGTAAATGCAAAAGTCAAATAATGAAATAAAAGTGACCTATAATACACAATGTAATGTGCATATAAAGTAAAGAACATAGGATTGCATTCACAGGTTCTGAATTATTATTTATTTCATCATTAACTTTTTTGAAAAATATGCTGACCTGTTTGTAAAATGTAATTGTTTTGCAGCACCTCCACCACCATCTCCCCCACCAGTGGAGGAAGACATGCATGCAGACTTGCCCCCAGAAAGGTTAAAACAGTTCCAGTATATACTTATGGACCTAAATGCTAAATATTGTACCCAGAACTTCAACCCAAGCTGATGCATGGATCTGTTTTCATGGGGCATATTTAAGAAGTGGAAAACTGCAGCTTGTTTGATTTTGTGATTGAAAGGCATGTTCAGCTCTTAAAATGACACTTGGCAAGAAACAACAAATGGTTATTTCAATATGAATTTTTTATACATTTACAACACCTCAGCAAGTGAGATTTTAATGTTGAAATGCTAAGAGCAGATTATCTAAAATATGTGTATTCTATACCAGCAGTCTTTGGGCTTACACACACTAGACTCAACATTTTTAAAATCATGAAATGGATGTTCTCATATATTAATACATGGTAAAGATAACTATATAAATGTTGTTTTTTTAACCAACAGTTAGACAATGGAGCATTTTTATGAAAAATAAGTCTGTTTTAAAGATGTACACTATTAGTTGCATAGTAAGTTAGGGACATGATATGGAGTCATACAAGGTGTGAAATGGAAATCCGTATTGGACGAGGCGAAGCTGAGACCCAATACAGATTTCCTTTTCACACCCTGTATGACTCCGTATTAGGTGCCTTACAGACTGTGTAACGAATTTATCCCGCTAAAGACTTTTTTCTATATTAAAAGAAATTTATGAGCATATTATCAAAATATCAAGTTTTAATCCAGTAACAATCAACATAAAATATAACAAGTAACAAGAAATTTAACTACCTATGCAAACCATTTCTTAGCCGCCATTTTTATTCGCAATAACGACACTTCGAATGGAATCATGTGCCCGGTTTTAATATTACCACTGAATGGAGACATAATAAGGAAAAATTCAGGGCGTCATGTGATTAGCATTTATCCAATCAGTAATCTACAAATTTGTCTGAAGCAGGATAAATGTATATACCAGTCAGGAGCATGATGGAAACAAGTTATTTTAAAAATAACCCATTTAATTTATTGAATTCATAACTTTGGGTTATCTCTTTTTGCTCTTTGTTTCTTCAATAACTTGATCAAGTTATTAAAAGTCTTTTTTTACCACTGATTTTTGACACACAAGTAAAAATCAAGTTACTGCCCTTTTTACTTAAATAGTAACTTGAACAAGTTATTCAATCTATTTTAATACAACATTGACTGATATTGTTCAAGTTCTTGAACATTGTTTTAATTTCTTGATTAATAATGTTACTTGATTTTTCATCCCAGTTTATATTCACTGTTTTTTTTTTTTTTAAATTTTTTTTATTTTTATTTTAAGAATGTACGCAAATTAACTTTCTATACAACATAATTTTAACAGGTAGAGAGAAATATAACAAATGTTGCATACTTAAGTGTAAAATTACTTTTATTTTATCATTGCAGGAGAAAAAAGTTATTTAAAAAAGTCATCAACTTCAATATCAAAAGTAATATACTGAAAAGTTCAAAATGTTTTACAAAAGTTCAATAATTAATTACAGTGACTGATTCAACCTTTTTTTGGAGAGCAATGTACATCATATAAGAAAATAACACCTGATTTCAAATGAGAGAAAGGCATTTTCAAGTTGTGAAGCTTAACATCTTAACTGTAAAAATCTTTAACATCTTTCAAATCTGTCTCATTAAAAATTATTTTTAAAGAATCCAAACACTAATCCTGACAAAGATATATTACCTCATTTTTTTTAAAAATGAAAATCCAAATTACAAAAACCATGGAATTTCCAAAAAGAAAATACAAATTCCCAAGATGTTTAAGTATGTACACGTGTATTTACACCCAGAAGTCTCTGATGAGACTGTAGCTCTAGTGGTTTATCCTTATAATGAAGAAAGAGAAAAGTAGCATTTGAACTTGAAGACTTTGCAAAGCAATAAATTAAAAAAATAATCATTTGGTTTAGTCATTTTCTTGTCAAGATTTATTGCAATCAGACCAAAACTGTAGGAGGAGTAGAATTTGAAAATATTTCAAAGAATTTTCTATTTTTTGTAACCATAGCAATACCAATCTTTGATATCAAAAATCCATATAAAGAATTATGTATCTACTTGTGTGCTAAGTTTATGCTGAATTCAGACCAAAACTGTAGGAGGAGTAGCATTTTGAAAAATCGTTTACAGACAGATGGACGGACAGACACCTTACTTTGCATAAGCTCTTCTGGTCTTCAACCAGTAGAGCTAAAAATGAAAAATGCTAAAACAAAATTAATATGCACAAATGTTTAAAAGAAAGAAAGAAAGGGAATAACATGGCACCTAAATGAGGTCATGTGATTGGACAAAATCACAAAAAAAATGAGACAAAATGACCTCTCTAGAAAAAATGGCACTTTTACATAAAGTTTTATGAGAAAAGCCAGCAAACTATGTTTTTCAAGTGATTGCTGAGAAGAATTACATTCTAATCATGCTAATTGGACTGTATGATATCTAGGTGACCACTGGATAAAGCTGACTGCTACATGTTAGTTTTGAATTGACTGAATATTACATGTATGAATTGACTGTATAACTAGCAAGTAAGCTTACTTAAAAAGGCAAAATGACATATTTTCAAATAAACGCATTGAAGTAATTGTTTTAGTACATTTCTGGAAACTGTAACAATGGAATAAATGATTAAGCATGCACTTATTTTCATTTTTTTTAAATTTAAGAATATTAATATGAAATATATAATTTTCTAAGCTTTTAAAACTTCAATTTAAAAATCTAGAATAATCCCTAAACATGATAAATGTTAAAATATGAAGAAAAAAATTCTGGTTCTATTTTCTTGTTTACTCAAAACATTACTAAAAAAAATTTTAAACAAAGATGCAAGGCCAATTTTAAATGTATATCAAGAAACATGCACTAAGCTTCATGGGATTTCAGATAAAAAAAAAATATGAAATTCTTAAAACAACTGTATATATATTGACATGATTAACACAAAAAACAAACCCTACACAGAGTAGAGAAAAAAAAAACATTGAAAATATTCTTAACACTAATTACACATACTACAAAGATGTATAGTCTCTTTTTGAAAATGTATTTACAGAATACATGTTCCATGGAAATTTCCTTGAAATGTACATGTACATGTATATCCCCATGTTCAAGCACTGTTACACAAATGAAAATAAGTCTCATGTTCATTAAAAGTTGAAATAAATGCTGGACCCACTGGCCTCTAAAGTGGGCTCCTTCGTCCGTTTAATATCGGTCCTTAATATAAAAAATTCTTTCTCCTGTAAACTGTATTTGGATTTAACTTTAAAAAAAAAATTGAATCCAATATGATCATGATGATGAACGTTAAAACTTGAAAAATAAACCATATCCTTGTTTATAATTACTCAAAATAATTTTTTTTTTAGAAAAATCCAAATACAACAAAGATGTAAGGCCAATTTTTATATGTATATACAGTAAAATGCACTATGATGTATCATGCAATTTCATATAAAAACAAGATGTGTTTGTGAAACACAGATGCCCCCGTATGGCAGCTTATGTCGAAGGTTAAAGTTTCTCAAATGCAAGTCAAAATCCAGGCCAAAAGATAAAAAATGTTGATACCCAAAGAAAGATCTTGTCTCGAGGAAAACACCTGTGAAATTTGAAAGACCTAGATACAACTGTTCAAAAGTTATGGTGAAGGTTAAAGTTTTTTAAATAAAAGTCAAACGTCAAGGTCAAGGTCAAAGTGGTTGGTATCCAAAGGAAGATCTTGTCACAATGATTACATATGTGAAGTATGAAAGCCCTAGCACCAACCATTCAAAAGTTATGGCCAAGGTTAAAGTTTTTCAAAAGTAGGTCAAACTCCTAGGTCAAGGTCAAAGGGTCAAAGTGGTTGGTATCCAAAGGAAGGTCTTGTCACAAGGATTACATATGTGAAGTATGAAAGCCCTAGCATCAACCATTCAAAAGTTATGGCCAAGGTCAAAGTTTTTCAAAAGTAGGTCAAACTCCTAGGTCAAGGTCAAAAGGTCAAAGTCGTTGGTATTCAAAGGAAGGTCTTGTCACAAGGATTACATATGTGAAGTATGAAAGCCCTAGCTCCAACCATTCAAAAGTTATGGCCAAGGTTAAAGTTTTTCAAAAGTAGGTCAAATTCCTAGGTCAAGGTCAAAAGGGTCAAAGTGATTGATATCCAGAGGAAGGTCTTGTCACAAGGAATACACATGTGAAGTTTGAAACCCTAAGCACCAACTGTTCAAAAGTTATGGCCAAGGTTAAAGTTTTCCAAAAGTAGGTCAAAGGTCAAGGTTAAAAGGTCAAAGTTATTGGTATCCAAAAGAAGGCCTTGTCACAAAGAATACACATGTGAAGTTTGAAACCCCAAGCTCCAGAAGTTATGGTCAAGGTTAAAGTCTCATAAAATTTTGCAAAAGTGGGTCAAACTCCAAGGTCAAGGTCAAAAGGTCAAATATGATGGTACCCAAAGAAAGGTCTTGTCACAAGGAATACACATGTGAAATATGAAAGTCATAGCTCCAACCAATCAAAAGTTATGGGCAAGGTTAAAGTTGAAACAGACAAACAGACAAACAAACAGATAAACAGACAAACAGACAGACAGGACAAAAACAATATACCCCCGGGATCTTTCGATCCGGGGGCATAAAAATGAAATTCTCAAAACAATTGTATATGTATTGACACAAATAATAGACACATAACAGAGTAGGAAAAACATTTACTCAGAACTAACTACACATACTAAAAGATGTCTAGCCTCTTTTTGAAATGTATTTACAGAATACATGTTCCATGGAATTTCCTCAAAGACATTTGTGTATGTATTAACGCAATTGATAGAAACAATAACATGTAAAGATGAGAACTGAAAATGTACATGTATATCCCCAGTACATATTCTATAGAATTTCCTTTAAAAAAAGAAATTCTCGACACAGTTTGTATGTAATTACACAGTGGATGCTAGATGGATCATCTCCATTAGTAATAAAAAGGTCAGATCACCCGACTCTAAATTTGGCCATGCAATTGGACAAAATGTCCCTTATATTACAAAAACAAAAGAAAGGAAAGGAAAAAAATGGCAACGTTGTATGAAACAGGTAAAAGCACTAATGGGAAGTCTGACTGTACATAACGTTATTACATTTATCACATAAAAACCCCTGCATATATACATGATACGCAAATGAACACATTAAGGTAATTGTTTTCAACATGTTCAAACACTGTTACACAAATGAAAATTAAAGTCTCATGTTCAATAAAAGTTGAAATAAATCCAGGACCCACTGGCCTCTAAAGTGGGCTCCTTTATCCGTCTAATGATATTGGTCCTTAATATAAAAAATTCTTTCTCTTGTAAACTGTATTTAGATTTAGTTTTCAAAAAAAAAAATTGAATCCAATATCTTTCAGGATCTTCTGACACTTTGGTTATCTAAAAATGAAAAGTGTCTGTTACTTAAATTTATATATCATTGCATATGATTTATATTTTAAGATTAATTGGGTTTTCTTTGTAATCATTCTATTTTTCA